AAAAACAACAAATAATACTCTTGACTTCTAGTTGATCATTCAAAAAAGTGGCAGAAGATAGATTTTTCAGATGAATCATCTCTTGAACTGCATTCCAATCATCACAAATACTGCAAAAGACCTACTGAAACTTGCATGGACCCAACATTCTTACAGAAATCAGTCAAGTTTGGTGAAGGAAAAATCATGGTTTAGGGTTACATTCAGTATGGGGGCGTGCGAGAGATCTGCAGAGTGGATGGCAACATCAACAGTTCAGTTCATCAATCAATAGGAATCAAGGCATGATCTTATTTTATTTTGGTAAAATAAGTGTAATCCAGAGGCTTTTGCCTTTCATATAAGCCACTTCTGATACCAAATGATCAACTAGAAGTCAAGTTATTATTTGCCAACTGATAGACTTTTGTCAGGTAGTGTGAATTGAATTAACTAAATTGGCTGTAGTGTGTGTGTGTGTGTGTGTGTGTGTGTGTGTGTGTGTGTGTGTGTGTGTCTGAATGAGAATGCAAGAGTGTATGGGTGTTTCCCAGTACTGGATTGTGGCACGAACAAAAAATAGACACTTATGGTTTTGTGGTCTAGGGTTACATATATGCTAAATATAAAATCAGCTATAGTAAAATATACTTCTGTAAAAAATCACCTAAAAAAAGTGAGCGCCACTAATGAACTCCATGATGACAGAATGTTCATTTTTGTGTCACTGTAAAACTCAGACTAGTGTTAGGGCTCAGAGAGATCTGTATCAGTCTTTGCAGAGGACCAGGTGGTAAAGGTCAAACCCTATCCGTCAACACAGCTTTAAAACCTCACACTGCAGACAATGAAAACTCTGAGACTATGACCTTCAGAGACGGTGAAAGTACCCAGGTGCTGTAGAAACCCAAATCTCTCAAGCAGAAATCCAGCGAACAACAAATCAGACAGAAGGAGGTGATAAAAGAGTATAGTATATTTTCTTCTGAAGAAAGTTCAGGGTTTCCCCGGGGTCTTAAAAAGTCTCAAATTTATTTTTTTTTTGAAGTTTTAGGCCTTAAAAAGTCTTAAATTTGCTGTTCTAGGTCTTAAATATTTTGCGCAGGTCTTATTTTTCAGATGTCCATGTAACGCTACATCTAATGCTCATTTAAGTTCTTATTTGTTGTTGTTGCTTGATTTTCATGGTGTGGTAGTTTGTTTTACTAGTCCTAATGTTATTTGCGGTATTACAACTACAAATGAGACCAACATGCAATAGCCAATCAGCTTTCTGTTATTGAACTCAGTGCGCCCGGCGAATGTGACATCATTAAAGAGTTTGCGGAGGTTTGCTTTGGGTGCGCGTGACATGATTTTGGCTGGAGGAACGCACAACTCGAGCTAACAGTTCTCACGGCGCCACGTTTCATTTGAGTTGAATATAAATCACTTTGAAGAGTGATTTATCTCTCAATGTGTGATCATAGGGATAAACAGATGAACAATAATTCTTAGCAAGAAATTGCAACAGTGGGAAAGGAGGAAAGGTTTTGTTAAAAAGTTTGCAAAAACCTGAGGGTCATGTTTGTTACAGCCGAAAGAGGCCATGGCAAAAGTGGAGACCCAGGTACACAACTACAGTATATGTTTTCCACCATTTGTAGATTTTACACTGATGTATATACCACAATTTTGAATTGCAAAAAAAATGTATAATTACAAAACTATAATTAAAGAACAAATAAGTTCTTTAATTACTGGAAAAGAATATTTGAACCTATCGGTTTACAATATACTGATGGCCTGTTTTTCTAGGCTTTATTGGTGATGATGGTCAGAAATGTTGGATCATTATTGCCTTTTTAGCATATCAGTATAGGACAGAAACTAACCAGCCAGTAATGTGTGAATTGTGGAGTGGGCAAAATAAAAATGTAAAAATGCAGTATTTTTTACTTAGTGTCCTTTTTTTTTTTTTTTTGCTTTTATTCTTGCCATAAAAAAATATAATTGTAGAGCAACTCATGTTCTGCAGTCATTAATATTTACCTTTAATAAGTAGAACTGTGAAAGATATTAACAAAAGCAATTAATGCATCAAAGTTTCATTAAAAAAAATCTAGAATGGTTAAAAAAATCTTTATAATCCTTAAAAAATTTTATAAAATAATAAAAACTAATTCGTTTTTAGGGCGAGGCAGTGGGGCAGTAGGTAGTGCTGTCGCCTCACAGCAAGAGGGTCGCTGGTTCGAACCTCGGCTCAGTTGGCGTTTCTGTGTGGAGTTTGCATGTTCTCCCTGCCTTCGCGTGGGTTTCCTCCGGGTGCTCCGGTTTCCCACACAGTCCAAAGACACAGGGTAGGCTAAATTGTCCGTAGTGTGTGAAGGTGTGTTTGGATGTTTCCCAGAGATGGGTTGAGGCTGGAAGGGCATCCGCTGCATAAAAACTTGCTGGATAAGTTGGCGGTTCATTCCACTGTGGCGACCCCGGATTAATAAAGGGACTAAGCCGACAAGAAAATGAATGAATGAATTAGTTTTTAAAATCTTGAATGATATTAATCTCTTAATTAATGATATAAAGTAGTTCCGAAAACGTCCTGCCTCACTGTTTATCCATCTGACTTTACGGTGGCTTTCTTTTGACCACCCCAGTCTTTTTAAAAGCCTCGTCCGTTTGAGGTGCGCACGCAGTTAGCGAAGGTGCATGATGCGGTGCCAGGCCAAAGTATAAATCAGCCTTAAAATGTTTGTTTGTTTTTTTTCCTGTTGTTCAATGATGCATCTAACCTGCCTTTAGCACAGTTCAATTTAAATAAGTTTATTTTGCCACTAATTTTATGATTTTGCATTTTCTCTTTATGTGCATGCGTGTTTTTTGATATTGTGATATAGGTCTTAAATTTAATACTAAACGGTCTTAAAAAGTCTTAAATTTGACATTATGATATCTGCAGAAACTCTGGAGTTTGTTTTATTTCGGTAAGAATAAAAGTTGTTTTTTTAATTTTTCAAAATCATTTTAAGGTCAATATTATTAGCAATATTTTTGCAATTGTCTAAAGAATAAACCACTGTTATACAATGACTTGCCAAATTACCCTAACTTGCCTAGTTATTGCAGTTAGGTCTTTAAATGTCACTTTAAGCTGAATACTAGTATCTAGAAAAATATAGAGTAAAATATTATGCACTGTCATCATGGCAAAGATAAAAGAAATGAGGTAATAAAACTATTATATTTAGAAATGTGTTGAAATAAAATGGGGAATAAAATATACTATTAATTGACGAGGGCTAATAATTCTAACTTCAACTGTACATAGTGATTTGAGGTTTTTGTCGCATCGTCCATCCCTATCTGATGCTATCTTGGAAATCTGTTCATTCCAAAGAAATTGAGCGTTGAGGAAAAAATGAGTCATGAGCCTGCAGTTTGTTCATTGTCTAAATGTTTCGCACACACAAACAATGCCCTAAACCTCCTCCTCCACAAAAAAAGACACCTGCAAACACTTAACTGAGTTCTCCAGCCCGTCCCAAGCTCTCAGGATGGACAGATGAGTCAAACCCCACCTTCTCCTGACCGGGTACATCTACTCTGCTTTACTCTGTCTTCTCTCATCTGCTGCTCACGCCTGGGAGTGTGAAGAATGAAGCTGTCTGGCAGTGTTTACCAAAGCTTTCTGTGTTGGAGTGTGTGAAATACCTTTTCAATAACAACGATGCACTGCAAAATAAGATTTTCTTATTTTTGGTTTTAGTCTTGTTTCTGGTCCAAATATCTTTTAAAAAAATCTTAAAGTAAGAAGCATTTTCTGGACAAGCAAACAATAGTGTCTTAGAAATGATATGTCAAAATGAAGTGAGTTTTCACTGAAAAGCTAAATAATTAGTCAAGAGGTAAGCAAAGTAATCGATTTCAAAACGAAAACAAGATTATTTAGCCTACTTTAAGAAAAACTTGGGCAACGTGGCTCACAGCAAGAAGGTCGTTGGTTCAGGCTTTGGCTGGGTCAGCTGGGATTTCTGTGTTGAGTTTGCATGTTCTCCCCACGTTCGCGTGAGTTTCCTCCGGGTTCTCCGGCTTTCCCCACAAGTCCAAAGACATGCAGTACAGGTGAATTGGGTAATCTAAATTGTCCGTAGTGTATGTGTGTGTATGGATGCTTCCCAGTGATAGGTTTCAGCTGGAAGGTTATCCGCTAAGTAAAAACGTGCTGGATAAGTTGGTGGTTCATTTCGCTGTGACGATCCCAGATTAATTAAGGGACTAAGCCAAAAATGAATGAATGAAGAAAAAACTCACTTAATTTTGATATTACTTGTGAAAAAATAGCTAATTTTTTTTACTTGTCCAAAAAAATGCATCTTGACTTAAGAATTTTTAGATATTTGGACTAGAAACAATACAAAACCTCTGAGAAAGTAAGTTTTTGTGTGTGTGTGTGTGTGTGTGTGTGTGTGTGTGTGTGTGTGTGTGTGTGTGTGTGTGTGTGTGTGTGTGTGTGTGTGTGTGTGTGTGTTTTTTTTCACTGTAAAAGATTAAATAGGGGCGGAACAGTGGCTCAGTGGTTATCATTGTCGCCTCACAACACGAAGGTCACTGGTTTGAGTCTCGGCTGGGCCAGTTGGCATTTCTGTGTGGAGTAGTTCTCCCCGTGTTCATGTGGGTTTCCTCCGGGCGCTCCGGTTTCCCCCACAGTCCAAAGACATGTGCTATAAGTGAATTAGATAAACTAAATTAACCATAGTGTATGAGTGTGTGTGCACGAGCGCGAATGAGTCTGTATGGGTGTTTCCCAGTACTCGGTTGCAGCTGGAAGGGCATATTAACTGCATAAAACATGCAGTTCATTCCGCGGTTCATTCCGCTGTGGCGACCCCTGATAAATGAGGGTCTAAGACAAAGGAAAATTAATAAATGAAGATGAAATAAGAGGCAGTGTGGTAAAATGAAGTGATTAAACGTTTGGGTGTTTATGTTGAGGAATATGAAAACAATCAAGACATACAGTAATACATTATTTATACAATTACCTTTCTCATCAGCTCCAAAAAAAGCATCATCTGAAAGTCTCCTCAGCTGGGGGAAATCTGCGGGTAAAAAAAAAATTTAAAATACAGCCAGACAAATAGACAAAAACTTATATATATATATACATACAGAGAGAGAGAGAGAGAGAGAGAGAGAGAGAGAGAGAGAGAGAGAGAGAGAGAGAGAGAGAGAGAGAGAGAGAGAGAGAGAGAGAGAGAGAGAGAGAGAGAGAGAGAGAGAGAGAGAGAGAGAGAGAGTGTTAAAGTCAAAATTATTAGCCCTCCTAAATTATTAGCCGCCCTTTATATTTTTCCCTTAATTGCCATTTAAACATAATAATTTTAATAACACATTTCTAATAACTGATTTCTTTTATATTTTCCATGATGATAGTACATGATATTTACATACATTGACAGCACATTTTAGCTCTTAAGTGGCTTTTTAAAATACTTTGAATGTTTTATACTTTGTTACAGACATACAGTGTCCTCCTGCAACTGTTTTGCAGCATATGAAATGTCCCAAACACTGTTTTTAACTGTCCAAAATGGAGAAAAAAAAAATAGTTTTTACTCTTTATTGTCAAAATATGTTAAATAAAAATTCTATGTTAAATATGCATTACAAAACAGTCAGGAAAAAAAATTGTATGTAAATTTGAACCATGAGTCCACATATAGGGACATAATTTTTCTCTAAAAATACATTACATAAAAAGATGATACTTAGGTTTTATTCTAATTAGGTTCCAATAAGCCCAAATAGCAAAGAGAAATAAAAAATGCATGTAAAGAAACACCTCGGGCCTTAAGAGGTTAAACTGACATTTAAAGGCTCAACTAGATTAATTATGTAGGTAAGTCATTATATAACAGTGGTTTATTCTGTAGACAATCCAAAAAATGCTTAAGGGGGCTAATAATTTTGACCTTAAAATGGTTTTAAAAAGTAAAAATTTGCTTTTATGCTAGCCAAAACAAAACAAATAAGACTTTTTTAAAGAATATAATAAAAAATATTATAGGAAATTTCCTTTAATATTACTTGAGAAACTAATATTGAGAAGTATTTCACAGGAGTGCTAATAACCTTGACTTTAACTGTATATTTTCAATAAACATAATTGCTAAAAGACTGTTAATAATAACAACAAGAAAAACTGTATTAAGAAGGTAAACGGGCTCAGTTTTGCACAGAATCAAACCACACTGCAGAGTGTCCTCAGCCGATATCTTCATCTGAGTAAAAGAGTGTGCTGTGTTTTTGTGCTTTGGGGAGAAACGCTGTGCACAGCTGGGTTTGAGCTATAGAAACAGACACAGTTCTACACATACCCTTCATTTCCCTTGAGGCGTGTGAAGGTGTTAAATAGAGGCATTCACCTACAAACTTTCCCTGCTGCAAGCCAACGCCAGACGCGCTTTAAAACTTAAACTCACAGGACTAGACTGGAAGGCATTAAACAAGAGGACCGTGGGGTTATTTTAAGAAAAATGCTTTGTGAAATGTTCTTTAACCTCAAGCGAAAGCACAATTGGCCTTGTAAACAACATTATTTTTAACCTGATTCTATTTGTGAATCAAACAAAATAAGGAAAGAGCACAGAATGTTTTACAAACAACTGGTTCTGATTCATGGATCAGAATCAGAATGAGATTTATTAGCTAAGTGTGCGAAGACACACAAGGATTGATGTTTTTTTTTTTTTTTAAATACAGCATATCTTCATTGTATAAAATAATTCAGTAACATTTAGGCACAGGCCTCAAAAACACATGCTGATGGTAAATTATAATACAGACTCAACATTACATATCCTGCGATGTGACTATTGTGATAATGATGCTGAAACGATATATTGTACAGATGGTAATAAAAATACAAATATTTATATAAAAGATTTCACAAATAAGTGCCTTTTAGGTTACAAAAACCATCCACAATAATGATACTGTAGTGTTTATGGCAAAAGGAAACAGCTTTTATTCAAATGATTGTTTTCAGCTACTCCTTGTAATGAATCATTCAACAGTTCTAAAAATTGTCATTAACCATTAGCCTGCAGAAACCGCAGAAACCCAAAGAACTTGAGGTCGATGGCACTTCTGGACACTGTTAACATAGGGCTTCCTTTTGGCAAAGTACTGTTTTCACTGGCATTTGTGAATGTAAATTCGTATTGTGGTACTTTCAACACACTTTTACCGCAATTCGTAACTTTTTGATTCAGTGGCTAATACGAATAAATTCATATAATGATCCTCTATAGAGGATTATAGAGCTCTCAGAATATGCCTAAAATATACCTTAATTTGTGTTCTGAAGGTGAATGAAAGGGGATTGGAACATGAGGGTGAGTGATCAACTAATGCCGAGTTCAGACAGCATGATTTTAGCCCCGATTCTGACTCGCCAACAGGTTTTGAGAAATTGCAGTCAAATGAATTAAATCACAGGCAAATCAGTGCTCGTTCATGTGTGTAACAATCACACAGTGTGATCAATCAAATCCGCGATCTGAGAGAATCGCCAATAAGTCATCGACACTCGTGAGATATTTGGCAGGCTCATTATCTTGAGCTGTCGGCGATTCAAATCATGCTGTGTGAAATGGGTTCTGGTTGAAAACAACATTGGTGATTACCTACAGCCAATGAGAGAGCAGCATCCACTAGTATGGGTATCTGCAGGCCAGCGGGAGGTTAGGGGAGAAGTTAAAATGGCTTCTTTTCGGTCTATTTAGACCCAAGAAATGGAGGAAAAACTAGTGTAAATTTGGCAGGAGCACCCGTGTTTGTTTGACGTGTCATCTGAGCAATACCACAACCGGCTCGAAAAAGAAAAAAAAGTTTAGGAGAAATTGCTTTGAGAAATTGATTCTCTACTAAAGTGAGCAAAATAAGAACATTTTCTACCCCTACTAAACGCTTCTTTCTCATTATGTAGTTAAGATTTAAAAAAAATCACTTCTCACATGTGTTTGGTTGTGATACCAAGTTTGTCGACCGAGATAATCTTACGGGCAATTCTTCCTATTGTAAGTCATGCAGTGTGAAACCCCGTGTTGCCTATCGAGCTTGCAGTGTAAACAAAGCAGCAACGGAACGCTACCCCAGATAGCAGTGTGAAAACATCTGTGACACGACTACTTTGAATATCCAGTCGTCAGCAAAACAGGATTTTCATTTTAAGGTTAAGTTTTACATTTTTAAAGCAGTGGATGTATACTTTTTATGTTCAAGCAAAACGTCCATGAGCTTGAAAACTGGAATGAAGTACAAAAATCAGGGCTTACAGTACTGAAGAAGAAATGACACAGAGCAAAGCCATTCATGACCCGCCTGTGTTTTGGAACAAATGAGACAGATGATGGCCTTTAATGTAAAGGAAGTGCTGACTACAGCACAGCACAGCACTCAACATTCCTTCAGCTTCATGCATTTTCTTAGAGTGACATCACAAAAGCGTTCCCATGCTCCAAACAGAGCCCAGATCAATCAGTTCAGCTTTAAAACAAGACAAATGCTAAGAAACAGGGTGTGTTTTTAAAGAGTTGGCCAAGCGTTCTTTCATCACTCGCACACACGCACACACACACGCACACACACACACACACACACACACACACACACACACACACACACACACACACACACACACACACACACACACACACACACACACACACACACACACACACACACACACACACACACACACACACACACAAATACATTTGTGTTCTGATATGTTACAAAAACATGCACATGCACACACATTTGTGTCCTAATATCACAAAACCATACACATGCTTGCACGCATACTGTTGAACACACACACACACAAACACACACACACATGTGTCCTAATGTCACATAAACATGCACATGCTTGCACATACACACACACACACACACACATATATTTGTTTCCTGATGTGACACTAAAACACACACATACGCTCACACGTTCGCTTACACACATTTGTGTCCTGATATGTCACAAAAAACATGCACATGCTCGCACACATACGCACACATGCATATATTTGTGTCCTTATATGACACAAAAACAGTCACGTCACACACACACATTTGTGTACTGATGACACAAAAAAAAACGAACCCACACACATGCATACACACTGGCTCACACACACATTTGTGTCCTAATGTTACAAAACATGCACATGCTCGCTCACACACACATGCATACACACAAACGCATACATTTGTGTCCTGATATTACACATGCACTTGCTCATACACGTTTGCTTACACACGTGCACACATTTGTGTCCTGATATGACACAAAAACATGCACCTACACACATGCACATTCACTCTTACACACACACAATTTGCGTTCTGAAAATTATTTATGTGTATTTCTGAAAAATATAGAAATGCTCGCACACACACACACACACACACACACACGCACACACACACACACACACGTGCATACATTTGTGACCTGATATGACACAAAAACACTCACACACACAAACACACACACATTTGAGTACTGATATGACACAAAACATGCACCTACACACATGCACACTCGCTCACACAAACACACACACACATTTGTGTTCTGATGTCACAAAAATATAGAAATGCTCGCGCACACACACACACACACACACACACACACACACACACACACACACACACACACACACACACACACACACACACACACACACACACACACACACACGCATGCACGCATACATTTGTGTCCTGATATGACACAAAAACACTCACACACACAAACACACACACACTTGAGTACTGATATGACACAAAAACATGCACCTACACACATGCACACTCGCTCACACACACACACACACATAAACTTGTGTTCTGGTGTCACAAAAATATAGAAATGCTCGCACACACACACACACACACACACACACACACACACACACACACACACACACAAACACACACACTCTTGTGTCCTGATATGACAAACCCCCCCCCCCCCCCCCCCCTTTCAAACACACATCACACACTTTTGTGTCCTGATATGTCACAAAAA